CCCCCCATTCAATTGGGTTATGCATGCTGCATTGTTTTCATACAAAATTGTGGGTAATTTGTCAGAGTTCAAACCACATTTGTCCCGATAAGATGTATTATAGACCTTAACCATATACATTCTCGACTTGCAATTACTCATGAATAGCAATTATCTCAGCGTGATTAGATGAAGTAGTCACGATTGATTGCTTAGTTGATCGCCCAGATATGGCAGTGCGTCCACATGTAAACACATAGCCTGTTTGAGATCGAGCCTTGTGTGGGTCAGTATACCCAGCATTGGCATAACCAACAAGATCAGGACTGCAATCATTGCCATAAAATAATCCCATATCGTCAGTCCATTTTAGATACCGCAATATGTTTTTGAATCCATTCCAATGTCTCCTTGTAGGAGCAGAGCTATATCTTGCTAAGACATTAACTGAAAAAGTTATGTCAGACCTTGTAGAGTTAGCAAGATAAATTAGTGCACCAATTGCACTAAAATATGGTACTTCAGGACCAAGAAGCTCTTCATTCTTTTCTTGAGGTCGAAACGGGTCCTTATTTACATCAAGTGATCAAACAATCACAGGAGTACTTAATGGGTGTGCTTCATTCATGTAAAATCGTTTCAATACCTTTTCATCAAGAATATGTCTCTTCATAATCGATATCGGGCCTTTGTGAAAATCCTTTTGCAACTAGACGTGCCTTATATCTTTGTACCTTATTTTTCTAATTCCTTTTACGTACAAAGACCCATTTATATCCAACAGGCTTAACACCATTAGGTGTTTGCACTACAGGTCCAAAAACTTCACATTTCGCAAGTGAAGTTAATTCTGCCTGGATAGCATCTTTCCATTTTGGCCAATCATCTCTCTGTCTACATTTATCGACAAATTTTGGTTCAAGATCCTCGTCTTGTTGCATTATTTCAACAGTAACATTATAAGCAAAAACGTTATTAATAACAATATTATTTCGGTTCCATCTTTTCCCCGTTGAGACATAACTTATTGAGATCTCTCCATCATCATCATTTTTAGGTACCTGAACCTCCCTTGAGGTCTTATCATTTGTTATGTCTATGTGCTCTTTTTGAGCCACTACCTCTGTATTATGATCACTTTGATCATTTACTCCTTTTCTTTTCCGAGGATTTTTATCCTTAGAACCGACTGGTCTACCACGTTTCAAGCGTGGTTTAAACTCATTTGCTTTAATTGATTGTCCTACCGGGATATCAACTCGAACTGGAGCATTAGCAGCTAGAATATATAACTTAGTCACCCTTGGTAGGTCAGTGAATGCATTTGGCAGTTGATTTGCAATATTTTGCAAATGAATTATCTTTTGAAACCTCTTGTTTACATTGATTTGTTCGAGGATCTAAATGAGATAGTGATAATACATTCCAATCTATCTCCTTTCTCAGCTGCTTATTTTCTCCCTGTAATGTTGGGTATATTGATTCATCAAAATGACAATCAGAAAATCTCGTTGTAAATAAATCTCCAGATATTTTATAATAGAAGGAGATTCATACCCAACATATATCCCCAACCTTTTTGGGGGCCCATCTTTGTGCGTTGTGGTGGAGCAATTGGAACATATACCGCACAACCAAAGATTCTAAGATGGGAAATATTTGGCTCCTGGCCAAAAGCCAATTGCAATGGGGAGACTTTATGATAACTTATGGGCCTTATCCGCACAAGTGATGCTACATGCAAAATAGTATGACCCCATACTGAAATGGAAAGTTTTGTTCTCATAAGCATTGGTCTAGCAATTAATTGGAGACGTTTGATTAATGATTCCGCTAGACCATTTTGTGTATGAACATGAGCGACCGGATGCTCAATTGTTATCCCAGGTTATATACAATAATCATTAAATGCTTGGGATGTAAATTCACCGGTATTATCAAGACGAATTAGCTTTATTATCTTAGCTTTATTATTTGAGCCAACAATCTCGCAAATGCCATGTTGCGAGTTGATAGTAAGTACACATGTGACCATCTTATAGATGCATCTACCAAAACCATATAATATCT